TGGCACACTGTCCCTCAGACCTCAAACCTTATCGACTTTCTTGACACTAAAAATTGTCATAGAAACTTCTGACTTTTTTTAAAGAGGGGTGGAGGGTTGACGATTCGTCCAGAAATCTGCGTAGTTTGTTGCTAGGTTCAAAATTTGATGAACATTGAACGGCTAGACTATTCAATTCGTTCCGCCTTTGTTCCCGCTCCGCCAACACCACATGTCCACCCCGAGTCGGCGGCGGTCCCCCGCCCCGCCCCGACCCGAACCGATTTTTTTTTTTTTTTTTTTTCGGGAGGGTCTCCTTGCTGAGAGATGCTGGGCAGCAGGTACGTGCACAGGAAAATCTAGGCGAGTATAACCGGATCGGGCGCTAGAAGCTTCGCGTTTTGCGCTTTAGCGCACGCGAAGCCTAATAACCAATTATTGCACATGATTACAATTTTGTTCTAAGTTTATTTTTCCATAACTTGTAAAAAGGAATTTCAATTTGAAATGCGAGTCTTCTTCTGAGGCACCTGCCAGCGATCAACAACTATGTATGTGTGAAAGTGATATACTTAAAAGACATCTATTTAGATAGACATTTGGCATTCATTGACAAGTGTTGGTCGCTCTAGCGGTTCACGTACGGGTTAACTTTTGCTAGCGCCTGTCACGTACTGGGTAGACAAGCCCGCCCCGCAGCAAAGTGAAACAGGTGGCCCACCCCGGAGTAAAGTGCGTATCGCACCGCCCACTCGAGGGGGTGAGGGTAATAGCGTTTTAGCTGGGGATTCTGCAGGGACTGGTGTGGGATGATGCCTCCGGATATTTCCCTGTAATCCTCAGGGATGGAATGGAGGATCTACAGGGATAGTATTCTAGAATGTTTTCCACGGGTCCATGGAAATTCAGTAAGCGAAATTATGTAGCGACTGCTGAGGGAGGTTTTTGAGGGATGTCTACAGTCCATTCCCGAAAATACCTGGAGATGTTGGGTGTGGATTTAATAGGGACCACTCAGGTATTTTCAGGGATATTCGCCAATGAGAATAATCTCCGGGTATTTTGAGGGAGAAATTCCGAATGATCCTCCAGGGGTGTGGTTTGTGGTGGACTCTGAATACAGGCAAGGCGGTGAAAACCCAGGGACAGGGACACCTCAGGGACTTCAGATATCATAAATATCACAAAATTCAGGATTATCACAAGGATTGTCTAAGGACAGCAGAGGGCCTACAAAATCTGGAGGGACTTACGGGAATTGGTGAAGGACAATCCCTCAGTGTCCCACTGTCCGTCAGGGTCATCAGTTTCTTTAGTGCCACGCACTGTTACATTTCTGTACACAACCTTCTTGTAATTTTACCAAGCCGACAGGTTAAATTTGGAGCGGGATTTGCAATAATAACTGTAGACTAGAGTTACTTTTCTCATACCAACAAAATCCTTATCCCTACAGTGTCTGCCGCCTTGCACCCACAGGCTCTCCAGCACCCTCCCACCTCAGCAGACGGTCTTCTACGCGAGAAAAGCATATCCCCTGCTACCTATGCTTGACAAAGTCATACTGCGTCTGCACAGCAGCGGCATCCTGCGCCACTGGATCAAACAGGACTGGTAAGCATAAGCATCTCTGGCCATAGCCCGTCCACTCTTAATGTAACAGTAACTGTTTGTCCACAAATTATTACACATTAGTACAAAACATTACTTATAGCTCCCCGTAGAAACAGATGTGTGCGCTAATTAAGCACTTGCAAGTGCCAGTCCAAGACACAAGTAATAATCTTATTATTACTTGTGTAGTACTTGTGTAGTAAAAGTGTTGCCTCGAAAATCTTTTTTTTTTCGGAATAGCCAAAAGATACGTTGTGATTATGATGTGCTTTTTATGTTTTCTTAGGTGGGAAATGGCACAGGGCAAAGTACGCCTCAACAACACTTCATCGATGACTGCACGTGTTGAGTGGGACGCCTTCTTCATCCTTTTCGCTGGCCTCGCTTTGTCGGCTGCAGCATTCATGTTTGAAATCAGTCAGAACGGTCACATCGCTCTTTTTTGTTCCCCTAAACCTGCGTAATGGTCAACTTGCATTGAGGAGGCCAGTATCAGTGTGGAACCTAATCTTGTTTCCGGCTCGCTGGTCAATACGCCCGCACCGAAATTCGCAATTCAACGATTACACAAGCTAGAGGAAGAGGTCCTTACTGGACCTGTAAGTACCTGACTTTAAGTGGGCAAGTTTTTTGGGTTTAAATTAGCATCTCGTGCTGCTTCTCTTGGTGATTACAATTTAGTAGTGATATAATACGAAAATTTCCTTTCCTACTTTTCGACTACTTTATAACCAGCGATCATTCTACAATTTATTGGTACCTTGACACCTGTTTCAGTTCATATCATGAATATGAGGGATGTACATTGTATGGAAAAAGGATTGGAGTAAAGGAGGGCTAGGATACGTTTTGTTCTGAAACGACTTTACGCAGACGTGATGCCTCTAGCGAGTGATTTAATAAGGCATGCCTCAGCATTCCAGACAGTGTTGGACTTAACGGTTCTCCTCGTGAGGCAAGCGACGATGGGCTTCGTGAGCTTCTCCTTGGCTGCCCCCTTAAGGCCTTACATCACAGTTAAGCCCCAAGTTTTAAACTAGTTGTTTCTGGTTATTTTTATGTGTCAAAACGAGTCAGGTGATCAAAACTAGGTAATGATTATGTAGGTAGGTTCCTTTTTAAACAAATCAAACAAAAAATAAGTTCCAGAAACTTTGGGTTTGTAAAGGAACGACACTTTTCTTACTTGAGTCATTTTTCCCAATTATCACTTACTTAACGCGCAAGATTTCAGAAGCTAGGATGATGATAAAACCTTTCCGTAACTTCTAAAATATTTGGAAGACATGTCATTAAGGGCTGGACCAAAAAACAGCAGAAAATTATTATTTAAAACAAAAAAATAATTTTGGAGCATTTGTAGACTTCAATAACATTTTGGAAAATATACTCCAAAATACTCTAGTTGGCGCAGTCAGTTTGGCTGAGAAGAGGGGAAGGGGCAGACCGAACTCTATATATATCAAATGGTGCACCCTTTCAAATACAATACTAAAACAATTTGTTTCTGATCATAATCGATCTGTTTTTTCGATAACTTTGAAATAGTATTGAGTTTACCATTGCTCAGCCAACAGCCGGCCAGCGTCTATCGACATCTTCCGCAAGTTTTCTTTCCTTAAAGATGGTGAAGAGTTCGATGCTCCCTCTCCTTTCCTATTTTTAACTAACTGGATTCGCCCACGAGCAACAGAAACGTATGGAAATATAATAAGACAATTTTTGCAGAAAGATTGTTTTCAAAGTATATCACTACTGTGACGAACAAGTACAAGTTCAATCCACCTTTGTCGGTATAAGGCCGCTGTCATGGGACTGAACTTTAATAAGCAATGTTTTGCGTTACCTTTTTCATTTAATCTTCCTAGTTCTTTCTTAGTTTATTGCATGTATTTTGCAATTATGATTTTAGTTATATTTTGACTTCCTGTCCTACTGTTGCATCTATTTTGAAAATGTGATTTTAGTTGTATGCTGAATTTCCTACTTTCTTCAGATTTTTCTTTTCTTTTGCAGTTGTGATTTTCTGTCTCTTAATTCGTAGATGTAGGTGACAAGCCATCACCAATAATTTATTTTGTGTTGAAATAACCATTCAAGTTTTAACAATGCTGATGATGTTTTGTGAACCTTTTTCATTTAAAATGAATCTTTCCTAGTTTATTGCATGTCTTTTGCAATTGTGATTTTAGTTATATTTTGACTTTCTGTCCTAGTGTTGCATCTATTTTGAAAATGTGATTGGCTGAGCGATTAGCGAAGCCTATTACTCCAATGACGATCAAAAAGTTTCGCGTCTGTCTGTCTATCTGTCTGTTTGTCATCACGATATTTCGAGAACGAACTGAGCTAGCGACCTGGGATTTTCAGGGTCGTTTTGTATCATAAAAAGACAGATCGAGTTCGAAGAAGAGCATTCTAGCTCAAAAATCGGATTTAAAAAAAATCAAAAACCAAAGGTCCCACAAATAATGTTTTTTAAAAATATTTTTTTTACAGTCTCCTAAGGGGTAACTCATCAAAGTAGAGTCCGTCGGCCGAAAATTTTCTCCGTTTTGCTCTAGCTCAAACCGTTGAGGCGCTAGAGGGTGTTTTTGACGAAAATAAGTGAAAAAATGTACAACCCTGCATGCTTAGTCAAAGTGACGTGCCGTTGACGGGCCTGATGCCCGTATCTTTGTGTACATTTTTGCACTACCCGACTCGGGTGTCAGCGCCGCAGGCCTAGGTAGATGAGGCGCGTCGCAGCGTAACAGTGTTTCGTGAGATATCGCGAAGCCTGTTACGCGAGACGTGGTCTGGCGTACATCTACCTAGTTTTAGTTGTATGCTGAGTGTCCTACTTTCTTCATACTTTTCTTTTCTTTTGCAATTGTGGTTTTCTATCTTTTATTTCGTAAATTTAGGTGACCAATAATTTTTTTTGTGTTGAAATAATCATTCAAGTTTGGTTTTGACCTTGGACTTATTTATTTGAAACATCCTTCTCATTAAAATTTATCATCTTGACAAAATCTGATAAACATTCTTGACATTCAACTATAATTAGAAAATACACCAATAGAAATTGAAATAAACATGAGCCACATTTTAACATTTAGATAAATTATGTAAGAATTTAATGTTTACCTGACAACAACAGATATATACACAAAACACATCACTCAAATGCTAGACAAACAGTATCAAAAATATTTTAAAAGAAAATAGAAAATCTATATAACATGAAATATAACATTATTATGAACTAATCATCTTCCTCTTCCTCTTGCAAAAGACCATCCATAATCATCAACCTTTTCTCCTCACCCCTGGCTTGTGCTGCTTCCATCAGCTCCTGCACGTCAGGACGAACACCTTCCAGATCATCAACGTTAAAATCTTCATGGCCCAGCACTTGGTTGGGATGAATTGGTCCACCCAGTTCATCTTCCTAAACATTACAAAACCAAATTCAGAAAGGCTGTCAAATTTTATTTACATCACATGACTATAAGATTTGAGTACTTACATCCATCATTGTTTCACCATGAGAAATAACCATGTTGTGCAAAACAATAGATGCTGTTATGTGGTCAACAACGTTGCGGGGATTCCTGGCATGGAGAAACTTTAATCGTCTCCACTTAGCCTTGGCCAGTGCGAATGCATTTTCCACACGCACTCTACACTGTGACAATTTTTTGTTGAAATTGAGCTGATTCTCGTTGAGATGACCATTATTTTCAAATGGTTTCATCATCTGCAAAAATTAACACATTTGTGTTACAATTCAACAAGAAATAAATAAAGTCCAGTGTTATGACAAAAAAAAGAGTATACTTACAAAATCAGTTATTGTGTAGGCTCCATCTCCTACTAGATGTTCATCGCGGTTGATAATCACACCAGGTTCATTGTCAATTAGGGCTCTGTGCAACTGACTTTTTCTAAAAACTCTGGCGTCGTTCATGCTACCCGTTTCCCCTACATGAAGCTGGCGTACCCTCAGTTCATTGTCTACTACAGCCTGTACATTTATGCTGTACTTGTGATGCCTGTTTACATACTGCTGAGCATCCCGAACTGGCGCAGTAATATACACATGGGTGCAGTCAATGCAACCTATTACTCCTGGGAAACCTGTTGCTCACTCAAATGTTCCCTTGATTTCTTGTCTCTCCTCTTCAGTAGGCCATGTAATGAACTTCTCTGCCAACTCTCTTAGGGCTTCAATCACATATGAATAGAAGTAGTATAGTGTGCTGGGTCTGACACCGAACTTGAGGGAAACACTACGGAAGCTATCAGGGGTTGCTAACGCTCACAAATTGCGTGACGGACGCATGTTTTTGACCATTGACCTAGGAAATATTATTGTAATTCACCAAAAATAAAGATTTGCGACATTCCTAATGTTTACTCACAACTTGCGGCGATTCGCACTCGGCCAAACTTCGGCAATCAAAAGGGGGCAGTAAAATGTTGAAGTGGTTAGTGTCAAATACACTCACCCCGATCAATGCCTCCTGCATCGGAAAGTCAAGGACGAAAACGTCAAACTTAGGCTTCTTCAGATTCAAATTCGACACTTGAAACCTATACACACGGAGTTCGTGGAGGCTCCGTATAAACACGCAGTTCCCTGGGGCTCGGTACACTGTGATTCCTAAAGGCAACTTTTGTGTCGGCCGGGGTACATGTACAAAAAGATGCTCTGGTGAGGGCAACATGCCTGAGACGTCGCCCTGATCAGGGAGCCTCCAGTTTCCCGCAGAAAGGCCAGAGATGTGGATCTTGGGAGAATAGTTCTACCAACAGAACCAGTAGCAAACTGCTAATATTTAAAGAAAAATTAAAAAAAAAATCATTTGTTTGGGAAGATGTGCCCCGGTGTTCGCATCGAGGCGATCGCCCCTTCGCTATTCCGGATTCTTACGGTCATCCGAGTTGGTAAAGCCCTTGTAGGCTAACATCATGGCTTTTTGGCTGCTACATAGAAGGATACACGCCTACCGCTGCCAGCGCCGGGACCTGAACCCGGCGCTGGCAACTCAGCGTCCTCGCCTCGTTCGCAACCAACTGAGCCATGGAGCCCGATGCGGGGGCGAGTCCGGACGACGAAACACATTCCAGCCTTTGTCTCGCCGGCCCGACACCGCCGGGCACGCCGCTTGCCCTCCCCCTCCTCTTCCTTCGTCCCTCCCCCTCCGGGGAGACGAATAAATAGGCCTACAGCAGTGAGGATGCTTAGTGTCAGTTGAACACGGCACCTAAACTTGTCGAATACACGAGGACAATAGTCGCCTTTCAAAAAGGAAACTTTTTTAACGCCTATGCGGGCACCAAAACTTATCGAATACACGGGGATAAGAGTCGCCTTTCAAAAAGGAAACTTTTTCAACGCCTATGCTGGCAACACTACACAAAGGATACTTTTGTCCCGCAGAGGCGGGGATTAGAAGGTAGCCGCTCGCACGGCGACAAAAGTTGCCTTTACGCCAAGGGTAACATTCTTCCCCGCGGCAAGGCAGACTTTGCGGCAGAGGCAACAAATGTTGCCTTGAGCCCGGACACTTTCGGTTGTTGCCTCCCTAGGGGCAACATTCACGATTTTTCACTACCCGGGGAGTAACAACAAAGGCAACAGCTAAAAAAGTTGCCTTTAGGAATTACAGTGTACAAACACGGAGTTCAGCAGGCCGCCGTATAGCGTCGTAACTATGTTTTTGGAAAATTTCGAGTTATGAAGTGCATCGGATAGAGGAAACCAAGGGCTATCGATCAGCGAAAACCGCATTTCGATATGTCAATTACTTCAAAAGTAATTCTGGTCTGAAAATCCAGCCGCCCATAAGGCGCAATGTAAATCCAAAACTTTGAAGCGCTATATCTCAGAACTGACTTTCAAGCACTTACGACGTTATACGGGGACCCGCTGAACTGCGTGTCTGTACGGAGCTGCCTGGAACTACGGGTTTATACGGAGACTCCACGAACTCCGTGCTTGTAGGTTTCAAGTGTCGAGGTTTCGGAGGTCTGCGAACGCCTTCGATTCGAACACAGTATTTGTGGAGACTCTGTAGAAGCCAAACAAAAATTCGACCTCTTCAAACAAGCCGTAGTCGTAAGTCTCTTCGAGGTCAAAGCCCTGTAAAAACATTAAATTTTATTCTGGAAAACAATCATAACTACATTGTAAGTAATGTCTTCAAATATTGACGGAATGGGTCGGTCATTTCTTTAGCCGATCTGAACCGTTTTTCAAGTCAGCGGGAGGGCCGTACCATGCGATAGACGGACCTTCCCGTTCTGTCAAAATAGGCAGGTACAGACCGGTCCATAATAAAATACAAAGGTGCGATTCGCGGTCAGTATCACAAAAGCTACTGAATCTTTAACACTGTTGGCAGACTCGGACGACATTTCGGTGGAGGTGGGAACACTAATAACGTGGACAGAGTTTTGACAATGCAGTCATTAACCCTTAAAGGCCCTTGTCCTTTATAAAGGACATAGTGGAAAATCGCCAATATCACCGGGATAATAAGACATTTTTCGGGTTTCGAGTGATGGGTTTTGTAGAGGAGGTTTCAGGCAATTGATGTAAGGCCCTCTCGACGTTCTGAGACCTCAAGTGCCAAAACTACAAGCCTTCAAAGTCAAGAAACACGCTAAAAAGGCAAATCGTGAAATTAAGCGTTTTCGTATGTGACCCAAGTAAGACCTATAGGTCGGATCACCTCGAAAAAATTATTTCGAGGTGCCCTAATGCTTACTGAAGCCGACTACTTGCGCGATTAGGGTCTAACTCAAATAGGCTCGTTGGGAGACGAGAAAAACTACCTGTCCCTCATAAAGGACAAGGGCCTGAAGGGTATGGAAAATTTGATGATCCCTAAAATGCGGACTTTTTGATCGAAATTGGTGTCAGTGTGTAGGTCTCGACTCAAGTGTAAGAAATATGAAAAAAAATAATCGCATTGTTGCCCTTGATACCCGGGAAATGAGATAAACCGTGAAAAGGTTCGTCTCCTCCAATCGGCTCCGGGCCCGTTTTCGGCGGCCTCTGTGAGAAAAGTTTAGGTCGGATTTTTAATTTTTTTTCGAGGAGTGGGTTTACCGACTAGGAGGTTGCCTGCTCTCAACTGGAAAAAGTCGTGGTCATCAAATTGCGTCGGCAATAGGGGGCCAAAAGTAAGGGGAAGCGTAAAAAGAGTATGTCCCTTATAAAGGACACTGGGCCTTAGGGGGTGATGTGGATGCCAATCGCCCTCCGAGGCGCCGAATTCGATCATAAATTGATCTGTTCCCACCAATACATGTCAAATAATCAAATAGTACATGTCACTTGAGAAAAATGCGGATTAGGTCCCTGAAAATAAGAGAAACAGTGTAAAGAAGCCCTCCTCAAAGCCCTCCATCAAAAAGTCCGCATTTTAGGGATCGTCAAATTTTCTATACCCTTAAGGCCCTTGTCCTTTATAAGGGACATACCTGTAATTACGTTATTTACAGCCGAATTTCGGATTTCTTTGTTGTTCTCGTCTATTTAGGAGGTAAATAACAAGAATTTTAAGAAAAATAATTTTTTTGATCGCAGCTTCTGGTCGCGGGCCTTTAAGGGTTAAGAATGGACCCAGTCCATATCGGGACCCAACTTATCCAAAGCGTGAAGCGTTGATAAGTAGCGTGCATCGACTGACCAGTGGACTGTATAAAAATAGCTGCCAGAAATAAAAGTCATGCTGATATATGATACTACTTAAACGTGAAAAGAGATCGAATGTATGTTTAGATAATACACTCGGAAGCATTGACTGAGGTTGCGGTTACACTAGAAATTCAATCATTGCCACTGAGATCTCTCTTTCTTCTTTTCTTTTTTGAGGGGGAAGGGGGGGGGGAGGACGAATCCTGTAACCCTTATACAGAAAGAAAATGAGCATCTAAAAGTGCAGAAAATATCTAAACGCAATTAGAACAAAATAGAAAACAAGCGTTCAATCGGTCTTGATGCACCATGATATGGGTACGAACAGTACAGTCAGCTATGGTCCACGGAGAGGTTTCCTGACTTACTTTGGTGGCGGGATGTGCGCTGTGGCCGGCTGCTCTACACTAAGAGTCGCTAGCATCGCCTCGCTGCCACTATCCCCCCTCATTCAGCCGCCACTGCCCCCCCCCCCACCACACACACTGTGTCTTTCTCTCACGTTTGGTCAGTGTGATTATATTGTAGTGAGTACTGATGTATTATTTTTCTGTCGTGTCTGCCACAGCGTTCTGTTTGACGCTGAAGGCCTAACCACTAACAGGTTAGATTAGACGATAAGATGTCCTTCTTGTCCCACATTCCGATGATAATTTTTTAGTTTGGCACCTGCACATGGGTGTGTTATGCCGGAACGTAGTTTTAAATAAAAGCTTACAATCGAAGTTTATCCGGTGATACAATCGGATTTCAATGGCGCTTTACAGTGTAATTGTTTGCACCCCCAGATAAGGTTTGGCCGAGGGGGAAATCACTAGGGTTCGTAGCGTACGGACTATTTCGTGGTATTTCTCCTACCATTTCGGTTATTTCTCCTGCCATTTCGGCTATTTCCCGCCTATTTCAGATTATTTCAGGCTATTTCGCGCTATTTCGGAGTATTTCAGGGGTATTTCGCGACTATTTCACCGACTATTTCGCGTCTATTTCGTCTTTATTTCGCTCTATTTCGCCGCTATTTCGCCTTTATTTCGGACTATTTCGGGGGAAGGTGTACGAACTATTTCGCAAGTGATTTCCCCCTCGGGTTTGGCATTTGTTTTAGCTGCCGTTGTGTTCGAAGTTCGTTTTACGCGAATTTTATTGAAAAGTCGCCAAATTTATAGCCTAGTTAGAAACTTCACATGCACATATCTTCAGAACCGTTTGAGCTACAGCGCCCAGATTTTGCAAGAAATCATATCTCGCTCGGAACCTTTCCTCGTAGAAAATTTGAACGAAAACAAATAGGGTCGCAAGAATAAGGGTTCCCGAGAGGAGGTTACGATCGTGGACCCCTTTTGCTGACCCTCACTGACTTTGTTCAAATAATTTTCATGGAATGTGTGCTCACTGGAAGATAATTTCCTGCAAAATATAGGCACTGTGGGCCAAACGGTTCCAACGTCCCTGTTTGTAGCTACACATCCGTAGCTATAACCTATATGGCCAGAGGCACCGCGCGCCGCCGCCCCCTTTAGGGTGCCGGGCGGGCCCAAATCTTTGACGCCGATGCGAGGTGGGTTCCCGACATCGCAAAACGCCGGACAAGGGCCGATGTCATCAGCATCACCTTTAAAAGTGCGCGGTACACTGCGTCCGACACTTAAACGTATCGGAACCAGTAGGGTTTCGAAAGCAGTGCACCTCACACCAATATAAAAATCTCACACAACCCCCATCTGAGCCGCGTATTATTTTTTTACAAAATTTGAGAGATTGGCAACGGTTTGTAATTATCACAATGTAGAGTTCTGGATGGCTGCGGCGTCGCTGCACCGTATTGGGCAAAGTTGCAACATGCAGATTCCAGCGTCCTCTCCGTGTTGGTTTAGAGCAAGGGGAGGGGGCAGGGGCAGGCGCTCGGGTCGGCTTAACAACGCGTGGCGTGGCTCAGCGCTCGACGCGCTCACGGCCCCCAGTAACAGTAATACCCTCAACAGGTTTTCGGTCCGGCAATGCCGTCTTACTGGCGAGGACTCTCCACCAGGGCACATTGCTGAGCAAGTATGCTTATCGTGTCTTCGAGGACCCCACCCCACGTCCTATCGTGATGGCAGCTATGGGGAGCGATCTAAGTCTGAAGGACCCAATACGGATACCGGGGGTTGAAGCCCCCGGGTTCCGTGGTTGGCACCGGACCGGACAGAGTGCGAGGGCCCCTGATGGTGCAGCGTCGTCGAGTCCAGCCGTCTCGGAGCGTCGTGGCGCAGCCGCGGCGCGTGTGGGTGCTTCGTAGTCCCGGAGTCTTCTTTGGGTAGCTGCCCTTCTCTTCGTAACCTCAAACGAGCAGCTACCCCTACGGGCTCCCCGCCTAGTGCGAGATATGAGCTTGCTTATTATTTCTTTATCGAGAGTTAAAGCCGATGACACCTTCCTTTACTAATGTATAGTTATGTTTAGTCTAAGTGCAAGGTAACATCTGTTAAAAATGTGGAGAATTGTTAAAGATTTTTGCCCGGGTAGTGTTAAGCTTGAAGACCTTTCCATATTCCTGCAACCAGTGGACAGTGGAGACTAGTTATAATGGTGACACAAATATGAAGCACATGCCAAACGAGATGCAAACATCAACACGAACACGAGGTAAATAGCGCGAGACAGTTGGGTGGTTATCGATTGTGCTGCCGATGCGACCCTCAAAGCCAGGGTAGCATTCTCCTGAAACGGACCGTAAGCTGTTCAGAGATGGGGCGAATACTTCGTCATCTCAGAAAGGAGAGTTGATGACTTTCAACGGCGCATTGTTGCGAATTTGTTCTGGGTCCCCCATACACTTTGAACTAATGTAACTGGGCTATATTTGGCAGCAATAAAATGGTCGCTTGCAAAAGTTGAAAAGTTGTGCGTTAATTAAAGAAAAGATGAGGTCAGCTGCGCTCACTTCTTTTAATTGTTACCTACAAAATAATATTGGCAGCAGACGAGGCAGCAGAGAAGAAGCCAAATGTATGCCCCGTGTTTTTATACAAACTCATAGTGCTGGCGTTATGCGTGATTAGTGTATTATAAGTTATAACTAGTTCTGGAGTCTGGGTGCACCTTCTGTGATGACACAGATCTGGGTTCCACGCTAGTTCATCTCGTTATTTATAGCCCTATGAGGTATTTTCCGAATTAGAAGAACAAGAGGAATATCGTCTGCTCCCGGACCATCATAAAGCCTCGACCAATCAGAGAGAGCCTCTCTCGGCCTCTCTCGTGGCCGGCTCCAGAAAGGCCGCCTCTGATTGGTCGAGGCTTTGTGATGGTCCGGGAGCAGACGATATTCCTCTTAATTCGGAAAATACCTCATTGGGCACTTGAAACCTACAAAGACGCAGTAGTTCCAGTGACCTCTGTACAAGCACTGAAATCAGCAGGTCGCTGTACAAAGCCGAATATTATGGTTTTTGATCGTTTGAAGTGACCGGTGGTGAATTACGTAGTCTATACGGAGCTGCCCGCAACTAACTGTTAGAAGGTTTCAAGTGTCGTATTGGAGAAACGTTTTGAGTCACTGGAGTGATGGAGAGAGTTTCCTGTCGCTTGGCCGTGTATCTACAATAACTTTAACGTTAGGTGTTATTGATAAGGGCACTGTATGTGTTAGGTTTCGGACCCTGCTGGGTACAACATTTGATTCACAGGTACATAGCAGGCCGACGGGATGCGTCATACCACCAGAATCCTTGTCGCTTTAGTACTCGGGCCTATGCTCCAAACCCTCGCCCGCCTTGCTCTCCGACCGTCTCAGCTACAGACCGGACTGCCCCCGGAGGTGCAGTGCGCCTTGACATTGCTGCCGCCCTATTTGCAGCCCGTTGAGCCCTTCAACTCGAGTCTGTTTATCACAGGGAGGTGAGTGCCAGACTGTGAATGTTCTATAAATCGCGCGGACCTTAAAGTAAATTACATTCATGACAGTGGGGTGATATTGCTCGTATTGGAGGATACTCCAAAAGTGCGATGCGGTGAATGTAGAAGAACAAAAAAGGAAGGAGGAGAGGCGCACAAGCCGCTCCCCCACTCCGCCATGCGCGGCCCCCCACTCTTCTCCTCCAGTTCGTGGGGCAGGGGGGAGAGGGGGGAACGAATATTTTATTGTAATCACTTCTGACATCTACTCAAGAACTTCAATCATTCTTCAATTTAAGAGAACCAACCATCCAATAGATTAACGGAATTTCCTTGACGTCAATGGAAATGCCTTAAACCGAAGATACCGATTTTCTTAAATCTCTTAAATGAAATTCCTAAGGTGTAAGGATACTAGGCTATTACCTGGGTGAACCACTTAATTTGCTTCCAGAATTATTGCTTAAAACGCCAAATAATATAATTTCTGCTTTGTACTATTTCTTCTGTTTTCTATTTAACGTAGCTCTGTTATACATGTTGCAGGTCTCGCTGGCTTGGCCAGTTACTGGTTCATCTTCCGCCTGTGGCGGGAGTGTCCGTGTTCAACGTTAGCGCCCGACCGCGCGACCCAAACCCTCGGCACATTTTCGGAATATCCTCTCCCAGGGCCCTTATACTTGTGGTGGCAGACGAGCCGAGAATACTTATTCAAGTGGCATCACAACTTTACTCTCCATACTTCACCCGCATCATTCTGTGGACAACCGCAAGGTTTCGTTTTGAATAGCCTATAATATCGCTCGTTTAGAGTCAGTTTCGCGACATTTTACCAGTAAGACTCACCGCAGAGTGGTGAAGACACACGTCGCTCTATGCGGGCAAGATAAACCATTCTAACTTTGACTGTCGTGTAGGGGCCACGAAAAGACTCGCCTTTACATAAAAGTTTCGCAAAATTAGAACTTTAAATAGACTCAATTCCCGAAAATCTTTAGTTCCGTTTCACTAATTTTGAGTTGATTTGTCCTCGACAGTTGTTGCAAGGACGTCCAATAAACCATTCCGGTAAAGCTGAAAAACGAAGCAGGGCAATGCAGAGAACAAGCAAACGGAAATCACTGTGCCTTAACGCGGTGACTTTCGTTTTCTTCACCCACGCGTTCTTTTTCTTCCTCGAAGTTCCTGAACGGTTATAACAGAGTGCACCCAGACTTGACAAATCAAAAGGAAACTTCAGAATTAAAGACAAGGCTTACGACGTTTCATTTGTGACAGTATATACTTTAAATTAATGTTTTGACCTTACGAACCATGAGCATGTTTTGTTTTTAAACGAAATTTCCTAGGTCTAAGGAATGAATTACTGTGTGTAGATGTGCTCCGAAAAAGTTAGGAGTCGGTTGACCCGTCCTATCTGTTTCAGGGAAAAGCTTCCACCAGCAGCTCTCATGGAGATTGCCAACGCCACATCACAGTTCTGCCTGCGAGACGTGCGTTTTGCTGTGACCGTAGGAGACGGCTCGACTCGCATGTGCGTTAATCTCTTTGTACGCCTACGTACTCTACTGTTCCAACTGAAAGTAGATTGTAATACTCCTCCCACTCAACTTGAAAGTTATGTCTTACCCACCCACGGTGCAGCTAGATTGTCCGACCTATTTTTCTCCGATCTGGTGTTTTTTTCTAAGATCCCCAAGAGTGCTTTCCGACTTAGGTTTTGCCCGATGTAATTTTCTCCCACCTCGACGATATGCTGAAACTTGGGAAGAATGTGCTTCAAAGAGGAACAGGCTTCAGAGGCCGTAAAGCGGAACTTAAAGTGCAGTGAGGGAAGGACTATAACGGAGTGCAGCCCCACGTCATAGAACAGTCAAAGTACGCTCGGCCCCTTATATGCCCAAACCTTACTTTCCCCACCCGATAAAATAAAATAAAGATAGGGGAGTACGCCCCCCACCCCACAGTACGCGGTGACTTCTGAGATCGTAAAGGGATCAGGCGCTGCCAACCCGTGCCAACCACAGGTGCTCATCAGAACCGTCCTGCATACTTGACCAAGTACACACCACCCCCTGCATAGCATACTTGCTAAGTACACAGGACTTACCTACATGTAGGTATGCAGGAGATACTGCATTCAAGTACACACTTGGGTTTCGAGAGTAAGTCGGACAATCTAAATACACCCCGAACCCATGAGAACGAAGTACAACAATTGTGTACTGTGTACACAATATAATTAGTGTGTGGGTTCCCAAAACATCAAGGACAAAACACTTTTTACTTTAACTACTTTGCTAATTTTAGGAAACTGTTAATTTATAGAAGGCGGCGCTAGGTGGAGAGTGTCAAAAAACTGATTGGAAAGAGGATAGTTTTTCCAGTCAGTTCGTCTAGCTGATGCACCTTTGGCTAAATTTACAGCAAAAACTGTTCCGTTACATTTAGAGTGTACCCTGTAAAAATGCGTGACGACGAATGCCCTTTTAACTGTGCGGGCAGGTATTTACGAGGGAGGTCGAAATGTGGTGATTTGCTAGTGACGTGGAGAGAACTAGGCCGCTGGACAGCTGCGCGGGGCTGGGATCGCCGGACCGCCGTTATGCCCAGGTGAGATGAACGACGCCGTCTGCAAGACAAGTAAAAAAAAAAAGTTTGTCTCAAGGTGATTGCACGTTTACTAAGTAGTAATGCCCTCCATATGATCGAGCCCCATTTGGTACTAACAAATAATTATTTGCTTCATTAACTCGGGCCTTGAAACACACTATAACAAATATACTGGCATTTCACGCCATGCCCACTACCGTGCGTGCTTTAATTTAGAGACGATTTAGAGAGCCATGTGATGAGACTAATTTCTTCTTCAGGCCGTGCGCTACATGGATTCCTCCTGAAACTGGACACCTTCCCACTCTCATATATCAGAACAACGCACCCCTTCGTCCATTATTGAGTGCATTCTCTCAGTCAACTAACCCGGGCGAGCTCGTAATGGAGGAAATAAAACAGTCACTTGGTAAGATTATGGTTCATGCAATTGTGAGAACAGCTCGGTCGGGACCAACACGACATTACTATGTCACGTTCTAAACGTCGGTCGGTCAGAGTGTTTTAAATGTAAAGTCCCAGCTGCCGACCACGAATGCTCCGTAAAGATGATTATAATAATTCACAATATAAAGTTTTTCTTTGTTAACACCGATGATCAAATTTGAAAGTTTATGTGGAAAAGTGTAGAAGTACGAGACAACTCTTTGAACAACGGAGAAAGTTCATAAAGTTTCAAAGCCACATATTTCGTAAATTTACAGAACAATATCTTCAGTTTACAAATAAGCTCTGTAAGTGTAAAGATACATTTTGTAAATAAAATTACCAGTGAGTGAGTATTTCCTTTTTGATAATCTAGAACATGTTACGAGACTAAAGAGGAACCAAGTTCGGTGACACTAGGTTGTTTCACCTGACGCAAACCGGATCCAAAGAACAACAGCGGTTCTTAGAACCCTTTCCTCCTTGGCACTAATTTGCCGACGCTGACAAAGTTCTCGAACCGGAAGCTACAGGTCAACTGCCCTTGTGGCCAGTTCTAGAACATCGTCGACGTCAGCCACTCAGTGTAAGGGAGGTCAGAGTTCAGGAAAAATTGCTGCTCTTTTTGGATCCGGTTTGCGTCAAGTGAAATACCCACAAAATTTTGCTTTAGAGTTACGGTTTCTGCTAAATTTGTTTCGTACATTCGAAATGAAAAGGAAAATCAAGCTTGCAAGATTGCTTGAATCCGTTTTTAACTCTTTCAAATTTTTACCTTACTGTAAAGATTCATAGAGTTTCAACTATACTTACAGCCAGAGTTGCTGTTTTTTTTTGTTTTGTTTTTTTGTTTTTTCCTCAAAGCTTCGGGAATTATTTTTTTTTCCCCAAACCGTTCGAGCTAACCCAGATAGGAGTTGACGCATATTTCATGGATACCTTTTATTTCAGAGACAAAAACCAAATTTGGTGACCAGATCCCATATTTTGGGTCGGTTAGGAAAGCATTTAATCATGTACAAACGGTTGTTTTCTCTCTCTGGTTCGCCATAGGTGTTTGCTTCGATACGAAACTGGTTAACTCGAGCGACGTTCATGGCACGAGTGATGGACTTCGTGACATTTTCGAATGCCAGAGAGACATTACATTGTTTCGCAGCCCAATTCAACACCCCATGCACCGAGGGCTGTCTGCTTTCACGTGGAGAATGCGTGTAAGAAAAATTATCTACGAGTCTCACCCAGAGAAGCAAAAAGTGCTCACATAATGTCTTGTGGTCCAAATAACTTTAAAATTTTCAAATAAACTCAATCAATAAATAGTTCTTGATGACAATTTAAGAGATAGAGTGCGTTCTAATTCTCTCATTTGTTCATAAATGTTCTTGCTAACATTAAGTATTAAAAGACCGACGTTTGTAACTTGCCCTGATATCTAGAAATGTGCTTTAGAGTCTGTATTAGTACCATCCCAATCTCTAAAGCTGAAAGAGCAAAGCTGAATTAGAACAATTCGCCTGCATTCTATGGCCCGTCCCCTGGCGTTCGTTTGTGTTTTGCTTGCAATCCGGCGGCCTGGCAAAGTGGCGTGAAGGAGGTAGGCTGGAGAGGGCGAGGGGGAAATCACTTGCGTACTAACTCGTACACCCAGGCCTGTACTTAAGATGTACTAACTCGTACTTACAGCGTAATAACGCGTGGGTGATTCTCAGAATACGGGCCGTTTAGATTCCGTGGCCCTTTACAACTATGTGATATGGTTTGAAAAGGTTTTTACACCATCTAGATATTCGAAAGCACTAATATTACCTGGTGCAACACTAAAAACATAAGAATACTGCAACAGTAGGTGACTAGAGCAGT